CGTAGCGGTATATCGACGCGGCCACGGCGAAACAATTGAATCTTTGAAGATTCCCGATGTATATAAGGCGATTATAATTCAGCGAGACCGGCTAGACAGAGAGAAGCCAAGAAAGTCTACGCAGTTCTATGTTTACTGCAGCCGGTATAGACTTTTAAAGGAGGAAGTTAATCATCATCAACTAATTATACACGCGCAGCGAGCAGCGAGCGCGCCGAGCCTTGCTTACAGAGAGGAGAAAGGAGAAGGAGAAGGAAACGGTACATAGCTTGTATAGTTGAGCAACAATTTCCTCTTTCGCCTGGCTCGATGTTGCCGCCGCCGCTGCCGCTGCAACTGCTGCTGTGTGCTGGTGGTCCTACTGCCTGTGGAATGCGTGTAAACATTCACAAAGGATCGAGAGATAGCGAGATAACCCTGAAGCTGCTGCTGCTGCGCAAGCTGCAAGCTGCAGACTCAGGCAAATTCCTATCTATTCGAGGCGAAATTCGGGGCCGCCTAGGTTTCGATGTAAAGCGCGAGAGCCCAGCACCGAGACCAGCAGCAAATGTAGCCGATCGATTTTGATTTTTGAGTATATTGTAAGAGAATCGTATAATGATTGAAAATTCGCACTCGCGCGCTTCCGATATCGAAGACTTCTTACATATAAATGCGATTCGCATAGACGCTCGATCTCGTTCTTTGAAGAAAGATTGCCTGTCGTAAGATTAATATTTTTTACCCCCTTCCGCCCCCCCGAAACGTTCATTTTTTATTCAAACTCAGTAAGCGTAATGAAAAGCTTTTAAATAGACTTTCGATCGTGTATCATAAAACTTGAAAGCTTTTTTTTCAAAGGATATTTTAAATATCAAGGCTTGGGCGGTGCAAGCTGCAGAGGCGGACGCGAGCAAAGAGAAAAGAAGAGAGAAAGAGAGAGAGAGAGAGAAAAAAGAAGGCACGAGTATGAAAAAGATGAAAGATCGCAATTTCCTCTATATATCCGAAACTCGTACAGCTGTATATAATTACACGTGCTGGTAGAAAAGGGGTAATGATGCTTCTGAAATCCGAAACCCGGAGAGAGAGAGTGAGAGCGAAAACAAAAAACTGATCTCATATCGTTTCGCGCGGCAATATAGAGCCCCGCCGACAAGCGGACTAGCGAGTCCAAAAAAAGAAGTAGAAGAAGCATGAGAAAACCCCCTTTATCATATGCTCATCCATACACGTCGAGGCTTGAAAAAAAAACCCGTTCGGGTTGGTAGCGAGATTCGGAGCGGCGAGAGTGTGTGAGAGAGAGAGAGAACACAATATTCTTTCTCTCTCGATGGATGGCGACAAATGTGTGCGAGTGTACGTAAAAAAAAAAAAAAAAAAAAAAAAAAAAAACCGAAAAGCGTCTTTTGGTCCGACAAGAAGGTAAACAGCTCGCGGGCATTTTCGCTTTACTTCGGGATATCTACGGCTATATCAGTTGCGAAAAGCAGCCGCGCCTGTCATCTTTCCAGTACGGAGAAGGAAAAAGGGTGAGAAAACTGTGCTTTCGGTTTGTTTGGGATCCGCTATACAGCTTGCGCTCGCGACAGTCGGGCTCGGGAAGACGAGAAAAATCTCGTTTTTTCGCTCTCTCCGGCTTCTTGTCCAGAGGATAAACATCGACACTTGGACGAAGCGACGAGAAAGGGATCAATTTTCACCTCCGTCTCTCGACCCCCCCCCTTTCCAGTCGCCGTCCTGCTTGTTTACTTCGCCGCGAGAGCTTTTGAATATTTTCAGCGTCAGCAGCTGTCCCGGAATTTTTTACTCGTGTTTCTTCTTTTATTTGTTTTAGTGAGAAGAAATAAAAGACCAAGCAATTAGGGATTTCGGTCTGAGTGTACGAGAGAGTCGGCAAGTTCATTTTCTTCCCTCGTTCTTATAGCTTTTCCCCTTTTTGTAACACCAAAGTTCTGTAGTTTCTGTTGGACTTGTAAGGGGACGGCTGTAAGGAGGACTATACGACGGGGGCTACGGGATACAAACGACGTTTAAAGTTGGCCTGATTGATCCCTTACAAGTTTAACTAGTCCCCGGGCATATATATATACAGGGTCTCTCTCTATTCTGCCGACCAGTTCAAGTCGCGGGAGTCGGCCGTGTATATAAAGACGTTCAAGTTTTGCAAAGTCCTCTTTGTCGCGACGACGAGGAGAGACAGAAATTTTCGCGCTCGTCGTCGTCGTCGTTGCGATTTGTTTTCAAAGTTCATATCTCTGCCAGCTGTCCCCTCTTCTTCCTTATACTCGGGCGAGTAGCAGTCATAATGCTAATAAACATTGGAGGATGCGAGTTAGTTGCGTGGCAAAGCAGCAGCAGCAGCAGCAAGTAAGAAGTAGAAGAAGAACAAACTATTTGAGCGAGCCCGTTGACTCTCTCTCTCTCTGTCTTTCGCGCGTCCAACTATGCCCGGAGCAGCAGCGGTGGCGGCAGCAAAAAGCTGGAACGTGGACAAGCGCATCAAGGGATTAATTTAATGAAACGAGACATCAGAGGGGGCTTTATATTTATTAGTTGATGAAAATTCAGAACACAGAGAGAAGGAGAAAGAGAGTTAGAAAATAAAGCAACGAAAAAGCTGCGGCGCGACGAGCGGGCGAAAGCTCGAGAGACGAAGAAAATCAGCGCGCTATTTTCCTTTCTTTCTTTCTTTCTTCACTTGTCATCGGATTTAAAGTCGGACCAAAAGAAAAACATCTCTCTCGCTCGCTCGCTGAGAGAGAGAGAGCCCCGCGCATTGAAGACGAAAATCCTTTCTTTGCAGGCTCGCCCACGCGTGTATGTATAAGCGCAAATCCTGCGAAAGGAGACCTTCGTTCGGTGTGGCAGCAGCAGCAGCAGTGCAGCCGGTGCTTGCTTGCCTCTCTCTCTCTCCCTCGCTGTGACCCCAATCTGTGTTAGAACTTCTCTCGTCGCGCAGGATAGGATATTACAGTTATACGATGGGACAAAAAGCGCCGTCGTCGTCGTCGTCGCCGAGTTAGCTGTTCTTGCTGCTGCTGCAACCGAGCTTCTCCCCTTTTGCTAAGTTGCTGCACGTCTCATTACGTAAACTCGCGCGCCGCGCAGGAGGACGTACGAGAGGAGAGCAAGAGAGATGTAACGCGAGCCCCGAGCTTTAAAGCACACCTTCGTAATAATCGTATAAATGTGTGCGTCGTGTAAAATCGAAGGGCGTGCACTAAGTTTTTTTTCTTCTTCTTCTTCGCCAACTGCAACTATAACACACACGTACATAAACACGTGTGCGTATAAAGCCGGTCGCGACTTGATTTTCCTCTCCCTCTCGCTCGCTCGCTCGCTCTCTATCTCTCTTTATATTTTATATCTCGTTTCAGACCGATGCACGAAGGTGTCGCGCGCGCGAGAGAGGAAAAGTGTACATCTGCCTGTAGAACATCTAGACGTTGACGTTATGCATTTCCAAGTACTCCCTCTCCTCGTTCGGCTGCTGCTGCTGCAAAAAAAAAGAAAAAGAAGGAGAAAAAGACGCGCGCGCTGTTACGAGGCAGTTCCGAGTCAAGATTCTCGCGCGCGCGGCACACTGTCTTCTTTTCATCCATAAGCACACCACGCGCGCGACGAGTCCCGTATATATACGCTATACATAGGATCCATTATCCCGAACGCGCGCGCGAGAGAGAGAGCGCAATGCTCCTCGTCCTCTCTCTTACTCTGGCACTCGCAGCTCTCGGCCTCGGCTCTTTTGCGACTTTATTTCGCTGCGAAGCTCGCTATATATACGCTATATAGCACAACGGTTATATACACTATATAATACCACCACCACCACTACCAACCCCTCCTCGATACGATACTTATATAATGGTAGAAAAAGGAGACAAAAAAACACTGCAGCTCACAGTTTGACGAGTTCTTATTCCTTTTTATATCTGTGTTTCTCCTTCTCCTTTTTTTTTTTTTTTTTTATATCATCCCCCCGCCGTTCTTCCTGTTATTTTGTCTTCTTCGCAACTCTCGGTCGCTAAATATCATAAAGATAATAATTATTAATAAAAAAGAGCCGCGCGCGCTTCGGGTATACCGATATCGACGCATCGATAGATATTATTGTCGAATCGCATTGTAGCGCCAAGCGCGCACGCACTAATGACACACTCGCGCACGCTGAAACGACTTTTCTCTCTCTCTCTCTCTCTCTCTCTCTCTCTCTCTCCGTTTTATCGCTCGCGCGCACAAGTACAATAACCTCGAGTCTCATCTCATTCGCGTACTATACATCCTTTTTTTTGCTCTCCCATTGTCCTATACATATATAGACGCGCCTATGTTGGTACTAAGAGAGAGAAAACGCACACACGTATACAGATTACTCACACAGCTGCGCTTGTACCACCCATCCACTAGTATACACACACGTATTCGTACGTACATACATACAGGATCCTTCAGTAGTGGCAACGCAACTGGCTCATATAAGCTGCGAATGCATCTATAGATATAGCTCGTCGGGGGTATGTCTGTATAGTACGTGACGCGCGCGCGCGCGAAGCGCTTAAACTTGCACATTGCCAGAGAGTGTGCGGGCTATCGTAGTACGCGCCAGTCTCTCTGCTCTCGACTCGACTCTCGACTGCACGGCAGTTGTCCCGCGACCGGCTCCGAGTGCACACTGCAGAAGGAAAGAGCACGGATCTGCATTTAGCCAGTGCCGCGCAAACGCGTGATCCTGCGAGCCCACGAGAATCGTCGTCCTTTCGTCTGCTTTTCTTTATTTCCTTTTTCATTTCTACAACAACGATAAAAATTCACGTGTTTCGAGTGTGCGCTATGAGCTGCCTTTATTGTTCATACGAGTGTGCTCGTGAGTGATCAACAATCGTCAATGTATATTCGAATATAGGCTTGTGAGAATAATATGTGCTCGGAATCGAGAGATGGCGAAGAGACGTCGACGACGACGAGCAGCAGCAGCAGCGAGCACAGCACGACAACTGTACCGACGTACGAGCGAACGCGCCACTTGTATAACTGTCGGTGTCAGGAAGGCTGCAAATGATCGCGGCCGTTGATATTATCTAGTAGTGTAAGAGAATTGTTTTCGAAAAATCACGATGTTGGAACTTTACGGAGTGGTGCCCGGTGGTGTTGCTGGTGCCAGTGGTGCCGGCTCCGCAGGTGGACAGGGCTCCGATCATCACGTTCACCATAATCATATAAATAATCGAAGCCATCAACATCTACGTCAACATCCGCATCATCATCATCATCATCATCATCAAGAGGGTGGAGGCGTCGGCGTGGATTACCGTATAGTGCCACCGCCACCGCCCCGACGTGTCAGTACGCTGCAGTCCGACCAATTCGTTGCTCTCGAGGTATATATAAAGCACACACACACACACACACACACACACACACGAGAGCGCAACAACATCGACACACACGCGTGGACCACATTGCGGTGTGTTGTACGACTTTTTCTCCGATCTCGAGCGAGAACACATGCACACGGCGCGCGTCTGACTAAACTGCCTGTTTATCACTGACGCGGTTACCCAAACACACATTCGTACCACTGCTGCTATTTATTTCCTTTTTTCCCGCGATCATGCCAACGATGCGATGTACATATTTATTTATACACGCGACAGATCTCGAGTGTTACTCTCCGCTCACTGCATTATTTTTCCCTTTTACTCTTTCCTTCTCCTTCTCTTTCTTTTTCATCTTTTCTCTCGCTCGCGCCTCTGCTTCGAAACTTTTCAAACTTTACGAGTGCATATACATATACACCCGCACACGCACACACAGAGAGCATATTCGCCGGCGATAAAAGCGCTTCAGCCGCACACCACGCGCGCCGAGTGCAACTTTTTCCCTCTTTTCTCTCTCTATCTCTCTCTTGTCGCCGAGTGAAATTGCGCAATAATTCACGCACGTATATACACGCATACACATACGGCCGGGACCGCTTATGTAGTCGTCGCTTATCATCGTGCTGTATACGGTACGACACACGCGAGGCGAGAAAGGTATGCACGCGAAAATGCCGAGAGCGGCTAGACAGTTGAGATTTTAAAATCACGGCTACGACGACGACGACGATGATCGCGGTGTACCGTATTCGAGTGGCAAGATCTCGTACGTTTGAAGAGGCGCACGTAGGTATGTATGAGCACTCGATCGCGCCACTAATTGGTTTTACAGCTCGTTCGCTTACGCGTCCGTCGAATCTACAGAGAGAATTCGGAATAGCGCCGAGCTCTGTGCATATAGGTGTTGTGTGTGTGTGTGTATATGTACCCAAGACAAACTTTATCCCTTGCGCGTACGTAATGTATCGTCAAACGCTTGGAAGCTATGTATAGATAGTAGTTGCATACGGATTAATCGATGGACAGTGTATAAGCGACATATAGTCTCTCTCTCACTCGTACCTTCATTTAATTTAAACATATCGATCCCATCTCTCTTTGCAAGTATATGGCTGATTCTTTGTTAAATTACATGGCCAAAATAGTTGTTTTCCATTGTCATAAAAAACATGACGTTTTTCGTGTCTCGCGTGTCACCAAATTTTATGAGAATTTTTTTATTAGAGACTGTCAATTGCCCTTTTAGGCAGGTTCGAATTCTACATTTTTCCGAAATTCATGGTTATGGCTAATAATTAAAAAATTTTTTAGCGTAGCCGAGAGTGATTTTAAAAAAGAGCGAGAGATTTTTTTTTTACTGGAAATTGAAAAAAAATGTTACCAGAGGGGTCTGAGCACTTTGAAAGCTTGCTAGTACAGAGAGAAACCAAAAACAAAACCAAATCTAATCAAGTTTGATCCGGATTTTCAACACCGAAAAATTTACAAAGCTTCCTTGCAATCTCAACTAAAATCTGCGAGCACGGACAAACGCGAAAAAAAGCAATTTTTTATTATTTTCTGACGTTTCGAATTTTTTCAACGTCTTTTAATTCTCTCTAGTTTTCAACGAGAATCGCCCATATATTTATGTGTACACCAACGAAATTTAATGATGCAAATCGAGAATTGCCTTTGACGTGGCACACGAATTTACTCGCACACATTTAAGCCTATACACATGCCTGCGGGCTGTTTTATCACACGCCGAAGCTTTACTTGACATATCTGCACTCACGTGTCTGTTTGGGCGCGCGTTATATGCAAGAGCTTGTGTCATCGTCGCATGCGAAAAACTTTCCGATAACCGCGCGCTGGTGGCGGAGTCAGCGGGCCCTACATACTGCCACCTCAAAGTTTTGCTCGCGTGATATCGTTCGACGACTTTCTCGCGTATATGTACGGACTTGATACGTCGTAAAAAAGGTCAAACAATTTTTTTTTGTTCTCTTTTTTGCTTTTTGTTTTTCGTTGTCTGTCCTTTTGCCTCGGGTCAACTCTGATCTACACCGTACCGAGCTCTTTTTCCTCTTATATTATTTATATTAAAATCAGCATTGGGTATTTTGCAGAGAAGCCAACGCACGCATATACGCGTATACAATATATACGTGTGCTACGCGCGAATTCAACATCGTGTACTGCACATTCGTACGAATTACATGTAATTGAGATATATTATATCGCTGGGCGCGCGCGAGAGCGAGCGTTGGAAATGTTTTTATGTCACCTCGTTACTCTTTATTTGGTTGAAATTCTCCTGTTTTAGCTGCGACGAATGGAACCGAGAGAGAGAGAGAGAGAGAGAGTAAGAGTAAAAAAGTATATGATAGGCTAGAAATCCGATCCTGCTACTACTATGCTGTTGCTGCTGCTGCTACTGCTAACGTTGTTGTTGTTGTTGTTGTTGTTTTTGGTGCTACTACTGCCCCTGCCTGTTGTTGTTGTACAGCTGCCATTGAGAAAAAAATTTCTTCTCTTCGGAAAAGAGAGCCAGCGAGAAGTTGCGAAGGAAAGGGGGAAGGGGTAAAAGGCGCAAGTTTGAAGTGAACTTAAAGGAAACAAATTTTTGGTAGTGTAGTAAGTAGTATAGCCCGAACTTCTCTTTCTCCCGCTTGCCTCTGCGTTTGCTTGTGTGTCTGTGTGTGTATGTGTGCGTTATATACAGCGAAATGCTTCATTCGCTACAAGGGAAAAGAGAGAACGAGAGAGAGCCAAACTTATAGGAAGAGTAGCCATTGGCAAACGAGTTTAAAACTTTGTCTTGTTGTTCTTTTTTTTTCTTTCTCTTCTTTTTTATTTTTTACTCCCTTCCCGTGATAAATCGGAACTCCGATTCCTTTACTTTATTTTATCCCAGTACTATTCCCTTTCAACTATTTACAATGTAAAAATTGATTTAGACCGCTGAGTACACAATATATATCCGAACGGTAATATCGGTTACATTTTCACAGATGAAAAAGAGAATAGCTGGTGGTGGTCCATTCATTATCAGCGAAGCTTCGATACATAGTTCTATAATAAAACTTGATCGATACCCGATATTTGCCGAAAATCAAACCGAATCTATTTTGATCTTCCTCTAGCGAGCAGCTTCGTTTCGACTTTCTCGTACATTTTTTTCCCTCCTTCCTCGTGCCAGCTTAAATATATTGTCGTCATACGTCTCTCTCTCTCTCTGCTCACTCTCGGGATTTTGGCGGTATAAAAACCTCAAGTTTCATCTACGCGCCCTTCGTGCGATCCGTCAGCTGCAAACCCGACCGCGAAAAGCTCGTCAACTATTAACACGCGGCGATGTGTACGCGTCGCTTAATTTGCATGACGCGTAAATATGTACAAATTGCGTAGACTACGGGCAAATTCGCTCGCGACTCGCAGCACGATACATAACGTACAGACTAACACACACCCGCGTCGTGTATGAATGAATTTGTGGCTTATGTATAACGACGTGTTTACGCGAGTCTATGCTGTCGCGGTAGCAGCCTTCGCGCGCAGGTGGAAAGAGGCGAGGTCAATGCCGGGCGATTCGATTAATTTTCCCCAAAAATGGCAAAATGAAACATCGCGAGCGCACGGAATATCGTGTGCCGTGAAGTGCGGTTGTTGCGGCGCTTCGATATATTTTACTGCCTCCCGCGAAAAAGAGAAGAGAGGAAACGTGCATTACGTACGTGTAGCTGCAAATGTTATATATATACACTCGCACGGCCAACTTTTTGCTTGCTCCGCTGCACCTTTCTTTCTCAGGCCATGCGCGGTAGGCAGCAGCAGCGGCAGCGGCAACGTTATATACCATTTCTTTAAAAATTCTCTTTCGCCCCCTTGGGGTAAGTAAGAGTGAACGAGCTAGAGCGAGAGAGAAATGAAACGAAATAAAACTATGTGTACAGTCGATTCTAGGCAAGTGGATTTTTATGTTCGGAAATTCCGTACATACGCGAGCGACCCAAAATATTCACCAACGAAATAATAAAAAAAAATTCATGGCAATATTTTATAGCGATAAAAACGTACACGGACACGTACACACGCACACACGCGATTCATTAACCGGCGTAAAAAGTCTAATCTTTGCTCTTTCATTTCACTTAACTCGTCGAGAGCTCGAGCGAGCGGGCACACAAAAAAAGAAATTGAAAAAAATATAACATCGCGCGGACGGAAAAAGGTCTTCAAATTAGCCTAATATTTCAGTAACGCCCGCGCGCGTGGTGGTGGCCCAACCCTCCACAAAACACGGTAAAATATATAGATGGCAAAAAAAAGAGTCAAACGTTACAGTATCTGCGCCTCGTGAAAATTTTTAGCCTCGGTGGCAAAAATGCATCGGAGCGAAAGAGAAAACTCACCTCTCATTTTTAGTTTCGACAAAAAAAAAAAAAAAAAAAAAAAAATTAATAAATGAAATATTCCTNAAAAAAAAAAAAAAGAAGAAGAAAATAGAAAAAAATTGCCCGCCTCCAACGAGTCACGCATCAGCGCGTATAATACTTCGAAGAGAACCGAAAATTTTCGCGACAAAAAAAGAGAGAAGACGTCAGCGGCACTTTTATTGTACACACATACGTGCGTGTCTATGCGTGTAGACATAGCCAAAACGAAGGCTAAAAATCAGTGCATAATCGCTCGTATAATGGTATTATGTATCATGCGAATTTTTACGCGCCATGAGACAGGCAGCAGCAGCAGCAGTAATTTTTCGACTGTCCAGTCCCGATCCCTTTCTCAAAAATATACGACACAATATAAAATAAAAGTACTTGCGGTGCAACGTTGCGCGCATAATTCAAGTCCTCGAATCAATTCATGTAAGCTTTTTACGTCGAAAGCTCGCCTCGGTACAGCTGCACAAGTCCAAAAGTCACTTTAAACCGCATTCTGGTACACGCGTCCGCGCGCGAGCTTGCAAAAGATCAAAAACCACGAAAAGTTATGAGCTGCTGCCTTGAGCTTTTTGGTTAAACTCGCACCTCGATCTCGGTAGTAGTAGTGGTCCGTCCCCCCTGCCCACGATGCATTAGTCAAAGTTTCGGACTGCGACCGAGCGCACGACCGACGAGGCAGAGGGAGAAAAAAGCCTTGGCGAAAGTCTAACAAGCTAATCCCAACGAAGCACTTGAGGGAGCAAAACATTCAACAGTGAGAAAATTTGCACACACATCCTGTGCCCCTACAACCCCAACACACACGACGAAACTATTTTATCTGGTTTTTTTGCATGTTTGTGAGTATGCGCATTTTGCAATCATGCCTGTCTTGTGCGATTCGCAGACGTGCCTGCAGCTCTCGTCGCCGGAATTAATGAGGAAAGTGCCAAACACAGCCGGCTCGGCGACGGCGGCCGTGGCTTCGGTGACGCCGCAACAGTTACTCGGCACTTCTGGACGCTGCTGCCCGAGCAGCGGCATCATCAGGCCTTACTCGCCCGACATCAGGGCGAAGATTCAACAAGCCAACGGAGGCAATGGTGGTGGTGGTGGCGAAGATTCTTCCTTATCCCCCGCCAAGACGAATCAAGATTCATGCAGTAAGTTTCTTTTTATTTTTATACTCAAGTTTTATACTCGGCTTCTTTTCTCTGATACGCGTGTAGGTGTGTGTGTGTGTGTGTGCGCGCGCGCTTGAGTAAGCGTACGTATACACACAGGTGAAAATCAGCTCGACTCGGCGTGAATATAACTGCGCACACGAGTATACGGACTTTGAAAGTAGTAAGAAAGAGAGTAAGAAAAAGGCTGGAAAAACGACCGAGTAGACACTTGTGTTGAGCGGTAGAGAGAGAGAGAGAGAGAGAGAGAGAGAGAGAGAGAGAGAGAGAGATAAAAATGCTGACCCTAGGCAAAGGAGAGCAAGCGAGGCGCTTGTTTTTTTTTGTTTTTTTTTCGTCGGAACCTGACGAGCGCCTTTTGTTCACTCCACCCATTCCTCTTTTTTGCTGCATTAGACGTTCTCTCTTTCTCTCTCTTTCTTACTATCTCGCACCGACGCGCGACGGGGAATGTATTTTTTCGAGAGAATTCGAAGGTTGCTCGAGTGCAAATACGTTTGCTTAAATTGTCGCGAATTTTTCACTGTCGAGCTGTAAGTACATATAGCGACGCACACCTCGCGCTTGATTTTCGACTTGTTTGTCTTCGCGTGGACAGTGCCGCGCTGCTCGGTCCCTCGACAATGTCCAAACGCGCCTGGACGATGGCACCGAAAAGTCTTCGAGGCTGAGTCGAAAATTTCACTTCGACGAAATTCTTCGACATTTTTTGAAATGGAAAGATACGGAAATGGAATTCGTTCGCACGCAAGTCTAAATGAAAATTTGAAAAAATATCAGTTTGATATCTTTTAACGAATTGATACTGCCAACTTTGAAGCTGACTTTTCAAATGACGTGTTAAGTACGTAATGTAACTGATGGGTTGAATGAGTTTTTTGGAGATATACCAAAACGAAAGTTAAAAAGATAATTTTCATACGCGTTTTCCGCGGAAATTTCACAAAATATTTTTAGAAAAAGTTACGCGAATGTATAGCAAATAAAAGAAAAACAAGAAAGATGATGATCGCGTAAACATTTCAAAAAATATTCAGTGAAAATCTTTTAAAAAATGTTTAAAAATTTTAATTTTTTTCATGCTCTCGATTTATCCTTACGTGAAAAATTGTTAGACTTTTAATCTCGATATATTTACGACCTAAACTATTAAGGCTTGAAAAATTATCTTTTTTTTCAAATCCTGCTCAGTCCTCTCGTTAAAGTCTTCTAAAAAGCCTTACTTACGCGACGTACGTGTCTATCTTCACTCCTCGCAAGTTGTGTGCGCAATGGTTCGTGGTAGCGACGCTCATACACTGCATCGCGAAAATTTCGTTATTACATAATTCGTCTCTCTTTTCCTTGAAGTTTTCAAAGCAAGTCGTGTGCGCTATATATACATCTCGCACCTAGATGTCTTTTTTTTTTCTTTTTCACTTCGCTTCCTCTCTCTCTCTCTCTCTCTCTCTTTCTTTTTCCGAGCTTCTTTTTCTCATGCACTCACAGAGGGCAATTTGCAAATCTCCAGTGAGCACCGCTTCCCGCTTGCGCAATATTATATATATAGTTTCTTATTCTTCGGATCGCAAGAGAAAAGGAGAGAGAGAGAGAGTAAAATTCACGAGGCTGAAAAATTGCTCCCGCGGAAAGTCTCGTGGAAATTTCGCAAATTGTCCGAGATAAAAAGCGGGAGAGAGCGAAAAAATAGCGCATATATATTATATCTACGTAAAACAATTGCGAAAATTCGAAGTGCGTTTAGGGTAGGGATTAATTATACGGCGATATACAATAGTTTATCCCGTAATTCCGATGCGGCTCGTCTCGAGAAAATGAGTCGATCGCGTCGTGTATTTGTCTCATTGCGCGTCTATTATTGGATAAGCTCAGATGAATCCAGCGACGTTCGCATCTTCTTTTCTATTTTTTTTTGCCCCCTTTAATTCCTCGATTTTGTCGCATAGATACTCGACATTATACACGGTATAGTAAGCAGAGTAGAGAAAAAAAATCAATACAAGTTAATTGCTCGGAGCGTATTTAGCGGGCCGAGCACGCGGGAGGCATTATTTTGCTTTAGTCGCGCGCGCGCAACGAGATAATGGCCTGGGCGTAGTACGGAGGTTGAAAAAAAGGGTATATTGATTTGACAGAGCTCTTAAATGCAAAAATGTGAAAATAATATATTAACGGTCGTGTGTCTCGTATATCCGCGTCGTCATCCTCGTCGCCGAGGAAATTTATTATTATTGTTTCGCCTCTATATACGAAAATCAATCGCCGACGTAATTACATTTTCTCTCTGGCTCTCGACGGCGTAACTCTCGGCTGCCGAGCTATGTGCCTTTTGAAATTTTTAACTCGACGTCAAAGATTAATTTCACCATCGGCGTTATATTAGCTCCCAGGCGAGGCGTATGTATAAAAAAATTTCCTTTTTTCACGCCCGTAAATACGTTGTATTATAACGCAATTCATTTGCGGATGTGATACACAAAAACGGAAACAAAAATTTTGCCTCCGAAAAACGCCCTTTTTTCCATCGCTCTCTCTCTCTCTCTCTTTCTTTCTGCTTTTCGTCTTTTTTATGTTTTACCCAGCACTTTTCGCTCGCGCGTGTGGTTAAACTTAACTGCACTGCACCGGCAACACCGTATAATATATTAAAATACAAAGAAAAAGCCGAACTCTTATATTTTTTTTCATCACAAAAAAAGAGGAAAGAAAAAAAGAAGAAGGAAAAAATCGAGCTCGTGCTTAGACTTTACGGCTGCCCCTCCTAAATGTCTTCTACACGACACGCAGGAAACTCGTGCGCGAGATATATTAACGCGCGTGGCGCGAACGATACGGCGGAGTATTCTCTTCCTTTTTTTTTGTATGTACGTAAGAAACATATTATCCAAAGACTTACAGCGCTGGCGCCGTGACTGATGAGAATACTCGAGCTTTGAGGCAAAAACACTTGTAAATTAGTCAAGCACTATATGCACGCGTTACTTCTATCGTTATGTTGTTTTTTCCGCGCTAGCTCGTGATTCCGAGTCACCAAGCACGCACTGCACGTATATAACGTTTGCGCTGCGCTTTGGGGTTTGACAATGGAAATAGTTAGACGAAGCTTTCCAAGATTAATGACACAGCTAGTGTGCCTAGGCCCTATACCCCAAGCCCTATGCTATACGTATAGGACTGCGCGCGCCGCTAATGCACAAGTTTAAACGCGAGTATAAGGCAGCGAGAGAGAGCGAGAGACTAGTATAGTACGTTCGGTACGTGTGTTGTAAGCCGCGCCGACTATATCCGGACTCGCGCGAGCTGTGCCACTCTCTTTGCTCATAATACGCATTTGTGGAATTGGGAGAGTAAGAGAGAAAAGGGAAGAAGAGAAGGTAGAGAGAGAGAGAGAAACGCTGATAGTATTGTAATGAGAAAAGTTATATGTTGATTCGCGAAGATGATAATAATACGGATGTTCACCTTTGATGTTCGGCATGAATGCGGCAGTCAGGCTTCATGCAGATGCGGCTGCGAGATATGTAACGTGTGCGTGACGATATTTGCGCTCGATAATTGCAAATTAAAAAAATTATACATATGATAACATTCTCCTGTTTTTAGCCCTCGCACGGCATCAATAACGATTAATATAATATAGCTCCTCTTTCGGAAATAAGCCCCGCACGTGCTATTCCCGATTTTACCATTCGCTAATTATACGAATCCGGGGCATGGATTGGGATAATTTTAATCCTTGCGCGCCTGCCTGCCGCACAAGCCATCCGGTTAATTTTGTCCTCGTGCTCTACGTATATACGTATATAGATACAGATGTAGCGAGAAATTCTTTTGGCTTTTTCACTCTTCATTTGCGATCGAGAAGGACAAGAAGCAAGAGAGAGAAAGAGAGGAGGTAGCATTTTTTCTCATTTCCTTTATTTTTGGGATTTTCCACCGCTGCAACGAAACCCACCCAGTCGTTGTTAAAATACCCTTTTTCTCCCTTTTTTTAATGCCCTATTCGAACCTCTCCGATTTTTGCTCTCAATACCGATCGCTTTTGTCACGCGCGCGCGCTCGTGCAAATAGCCTAGATTTTTTATCGATCTTCGCCGCGCCGCGTTAAAACTCACCGTACCTCTTTCCTGACTTTTTTTTTATTTCGGGAAAGCGCACAGCAGCAGCAACAGCAGCGTCAGAACGAGGGGCGGAGGAGGAAAAGCGGGCCACGCGGCTATCGAAGCGTACATTTTTCATTACTGCAACTACGAATAACTTCTACCGCGCGAGCGTGTAATACACATGATAATTTACAAACACAGAGAGCTGTGTGGAGCCGAGAATTAGCATATATCGACGTTTCGGTCGAATAAATCCAGCCAGCCACGTCCGTGGATAATGAAAACATAGAAAAAAGATGTACGGATTTCGGTTATAGCTGAGGGTTTTTTTCGCCAATTCACACGCGTCGTGCTTTTAATTAAAAATTGAAGGAGCAGTGTGGCTGGGGGAAAGAAAAAAAAATTTTAAAAATTCTAACGCTGGTGCAAAAAAAAAAGGAGGAAGAAGAAGAAGAGGAGAAACTCGTGAAGCAGCTCCGTTAATCAAGATGCTTACACGCGGGCATTGCATGCACCTCTAGATATAGCCATGAGAAATCTCAAAGACGCGGCAAGGAGCCTCGGGCACGATGTTTACGCATTTAGCGCAATGTCGGAAGTTAATATAAACATTTTAAATCTTCAGCACCGGTTTTCCGCAAAAGTGGGTCTTGAAGGTGTGTGCTTCCTCTTCTTCTTCCTTTTTTTTCTTTTTCTTTTGCCCGTTTTCGCCGAGGAAACATACGCGAGTTCATTTTTCACTCTCCAAGGCAACTCTTGCTCTCTCTTTCTCTCTCTAACTCTTACCGAAAAACGTTTTCCCATAAGAGAAAAAGAAAGAATGGCCGTATTTCAATTTTATGGCTGGCAACATATCACTTTCCACACTTCAAAAAT